TTAACTAGTCAAAAAGAACACTTTGACGTTAAAGTGGTTGGACTTCCTGAGAAGGAAAGATCAACAAAATGCAGCTCTGCAATGTTACACGGAACTGAAAACGAGATCAACGCCGCTGCTACCATGGTCGGTAAAGTCTTACCCATGATGTGTCCAGGTCTAAAAATGTACGAAGAAGGGTACATCGAACTAGATTCTGTACGCACAAAACCATTTATGATAATTTCTCCAGACGGCAGCGTTAGAACAACAGAGAGAGAAGATTGTACTACGTGTTGGTATTGAATTGAAATGTCCAATTTACGATGTCCACACAAGTTTTCCACGAAGGTATTTGTTACAATGCTTAAGTGAAATTGAGGCATTGAATGTACCAGAACTTCTCTATTTAAGCTGGCGTCCGGACATTTCAACATGCTTTAGAATTAAAAGAAACCCTACTCTATTCCAAAGGGCATTTAAGGCGGCTGTGGAGTTGTATGATGTAGATAAGCCTAGAAGACCAACGAAGCTGTCGGAAGAAAGCAGACTGCTCTCTGCTGAAATTCATAAGGCTTGTAGTTCAGAAGATATGGTGGAGTTTATTGGTGTGTTCCAATCTTTAAAAACATCAACCAGATACGGAAAAACAGCTATGACAATGGGATATAGCTCGGTTCAAAGATGTGAGGTTCTGTTAAAAATCAGCTGATAAAATGTTATGACGATTTCTATGAATTGCAACGAATACCAGCAACAGAGGCAGTCGTGTTCCTTTGCTGTGACCTAGATAGAAAGTGTGGGAAGAGGACAGGGCTCATAGTGTGCCTGTCTGTTGGTTTCCTAAAGGTGGATCACTAGATACAAGTACAATGAGAAAAATTGTCGAATATGTTATGAACAGTTGTAAAGAAAAAGGTTTGTATGTACCTGCGTTATCGTTCGATGGCCAATGGCATTGTATTGCAATAAGAGATGAAAACGAAGCCCCACTGACGACATTACAACTTCAAAAGGATGTTGGAATAAGTTGAAAAGAAGTCAAAGCGTGATATAATTACTGAGTTTTGTGACCTGAACAAAGTAGTTATACGCCTAAATGAAGTTCACGCAGAGGATCAGTCGGAATCAAAATCAATTATATGTACTAATAATGGAGTGCGTTTACCTAAGATTTCAGTCAGTGTGGCAGCACAAAGAAGAAAAGAAAATGCACAGAAACGAACAACATCTGATAGCATGTCAAATGTACTGAATCCGGTTACTTATAGGAGAAGACACGGAAATAAATGCAGACGAAATAGACGACAAAGATGATTCAGAAGTGACTCATATTGAATTTGAGAAAGAAGTACCAATTCAATCGTCAACTGAAGAAAAAATTATTCATTGGAATGAAGCAGACAATACTTCATTGTTGGCATTATTTCGAGTCGATAAACTTGTGAACGCAAAACAATCATGGGATAATTTATCATCCAGAGACATTTCCTCGTATTTCGTTGATGATAAATCTCTTAGAAAGCTGCGTGACTGCGAATTACGTATCATAGTACGGTACATCAATAGAACACATAAACTAAAATTGAAAGATAGCGACAGGAAAGAGGCGAAAGTCGGACAAATATGCAAGTTGTTAGGTTTACATTACAAACTATCAGATAAAACAAGAATGACAAAAACAAAAACACATTATCAACCTAAACGATTATCAGAACTTGCTCTTAAGCAACTTAATAAATCCTTAACTAAGAAAGATTTGAACATTATTTACGCAGAATATATCTGGGAAGACGATTATAAGCATTGGCAACAACAACGAAATGAGCCAAAACGGCAATTTCCGGTTGCAGACAAAGACATAGATGAACAGTTCTATTACCCATCTTTTAGCAGAAGTAGATGTCAGCTGGAGGTTAGTTGTATCGATTCATCCCATTTACTTACCAGAACGAGAAGAAAAAGTGCAAAAGGGGGTCTTGATGGATTCAGCAATCAGGCTTGGCGAAAAGTAGCAAAATCGAAGAAGACGTTGTTATCTATTGGCATGGTGGATTGTATTACTGAACCCATGACAGTATCTGTGGCTAATACGCATTTTAGCGAAGCTGTTGAAAACGAAATGCTTAAAAATGGAGACGTAAGTGAAGCAAGGCTTTGTCGGGACATTAGAAACTGGTGGCGAGCGGAAGATGAACCGGGTATTTCAGCCAAAATCGAATAAGCCTCCGTTCAGCTTTACGATCGAGATTAATTGGACATATAGATTTTTCTTCATTTCCACCACCTGGTATGTATGTCCAAGGTTGGCCAACACAACTATGGGAGGCCATTATCGCTAGTATTGATGCAAAGAGAACTTTGTACAACATTGTCAGAAGTAAAACGTACCATGTACGAGCCTTCTCCAGCATGATGGGAGAAACTTTCTTTTCTGAAGTAACTTTGTCTGACCGAAGGGGACAGGGCACGATCACATGCGATGAATTCGGAAAATTCATGGACATGACGATTGAGAAGCTGCACATGCGATTGGATCCAAAGAGGTATGGCAACTTAAAGGTTCATTCAATCTTTAAAATCTATATTGTTTTAATTTTCTCAGTTATTTTCACATACATACATACATACATACATACATTCATACATACATTCATACAAACATACAAACATACATACATACATACACGCACGCACGCACGCACGCACGCACGCACGCACACACACACACACACATACATACATACATACATACATACATACATACATACATACATACATATATACTCAATGAATAGATAGTGTCGTCCTAATGAATTCTTGGGTCATGAATTCCCCATTCTCTTCTTTCAGAACGTTCTCGTACCGGACTTCAAGAAAAAATGTATACCAACTAGTAGGACAGTATAATTCAGAGCAATCACTTGAAATGAACTCGGACGATGTCAATGCTGACAGCAAAGCTTCTAAAGTGCGGTAATTAATTAACAATAATTTTATTTTAAGGTGTTTCAGCATTACAATGAACTATGAAAAGCCAGTACAATGGATATACATTTGACCAACAGAAATTACTTTTTCTGATTTTGAGAAATCTTATAATCTTATAATCTAAGTATTAGGCAGACGACATTTTCAGCAAACCTTGACAGCATCAATAAATTTCCGACGTTACCATAAAATTTTCAAAACATATTAGATTTATTATATTAACTGTTTTCTGTGTTGTTGCTTTTTTTTCAGAGATCACCAATTTGATGACCCTGGAAGGCGGAGGTTAAAATCAAAAGTAAAAGAGGCAAGGCAGGATGGGAACCGAAATGCGGTTGCGAGAGGACATTACCTGTCCGATTTGAGAATGCAAGGCGAAACGAAAGCAAAAATGCTGCCAACTTTTAGGCTCGGACTCGACATGAACGATATAACATGAACACTTGTCAAAACAACATTAAGCTTAAAAAAGACATGTTATACGAATTAACATTCAAGTTACAAAATAAGTGCCTTGTTCAACGGATATAGTGCACCATACTTCATTTTAAAGATATAATCAAAATATTCTGTTGTTTTTTCTTTGAAAGAAATTCAAGACAGTAGAGACTTTGGGATAGTGAAGATGGTATAATTAATATTTTGATTAAGAAATAACTGATAACAGAGTCGTGATATACCAAACATGCACACAAAGATGAGTTGAAGTATGTTAAAATGATTGCTTGTTGATTCTTTACAGAACGTGCATATTGTTTTAGATTTATATTTTTAATATAAGTTGTAAATAAAATGTTATATCAAAATTTGACATGGCGTTAATTTGTTACATGCTCAGCCAGGAACGTAATGTTAACATTTTATGCTTATTTGGGAAATATAAACGAATTTTGAGTGCATTGATGTAGAATTATTCACGTTTAAAATGTCAAATAAACAGGAATATAATCAAGGCCTATATGCCCGAGTGATAAATTACAAGCATTTGATCGATAAGTCTGACATTATAAAAATGATAAAAGATATGTTGAACTACATTGAGTATAGAAGAGATTTCCCTGGCTTCAATTGATTTATTGACGTCACATGTTGCGCAAGCATTGAAAGTTTACATGTCATACTTTTTTACGGCATAACGTATGATTCGTTATGTTGTGTATATATCGAGTCATTATGCACTTAATTGGGCTATCCTTGTATGAACCGTATACAAAAATATCATAAACTCTCGCAGCCATATTTTTGGTCTGATTTGAATGAGTAGAACCAAATGATATTACATTGTGATTTTAATTGATCACTATGGACTTTCATTATCATTAAGGTTTTATTCTTTGTGTAGAACAATTTTATTTTTCAATATCATCAGAATCTTCTTGTTGAAATTTGTGTCTCGTATACCTGATACTTTAGTAATATGAAACCAGCCAGCTTTAGTACTTTGATATGTTTATTTACATACATTGTAATTAATAAACAACATAAATAACATAAGTACTTTAAAATCACAGTAAATTCAATTATCACAGTCAAATTTCTTGAAAAATATGGGAAAAAAACAATACACAAATAAAATAATGATTACAATGATTGAGTAATTCTATACTTACAAAAGACACGAACATTAAAACATGAAATATACTGCATTACTCATGACTCTATGTTTATTTAGCATATATGAAAAGAGGCCCACGGACGTCATGAGAAGTGAACAAAAAAGTAAATAGCATAATGATTTGACAAACATACACTCAATTATCAATGTCTAATTTTTTGAAATAAAACTTAAAAATGAAAATAAAAATGATTATCGACAATAACATTTTTGAAAATGATTTAATGGTGAAGTAGAATAGTATAGATATTAAAATGATACCCTCATTGTCCAAATTTATTTGCAGAAATTATAACTAACTTATTATTATAGAAAATTACGGTTACATTATTACCAAGCAACTTACTGTACGACTTAACAAGTCAACAATTTATTCAATTAAACAATCCTAATACTGTTGACATTGTTTCGAGAGCTAATTGTTATTTTGATCAGTATTATGCGTCTTCTTTACATGTTTATACACAGAACTACTGTGTTTATATCTCTTTCCGCACACATGACATCCGTGTCTTCTGTCTTCACTGTGTGTGGCCAGATGAACCTTAAGGTCATCTTTGGTTACTGCCTTGTGACCACACACATCACACGTACACATTTCATTTCTTGCTTCCCTAGCTTCGTGTAAAGCAAGTGTCTGGGCCCTGGCAAAATCCCTTCCACATGTCTTGCAGACGAACTTTTTGGTTTCACCATGAACAGAGCATCTATAAAATAAAATTTATATGTGTACAACTGAAGAGAAAAAAAAAACCCGGAAAATTTGACCATGATAATGTATTTACCTTTACAATTGAAGTGCTACATATACACACTCTGATAATAAGTGGGAAACAATCAAGTTTAGTTTCTGAAACACTATTAATTATGGCAGTTTCTAAACAAAAAATATTGTGTTAATTCCATTTTATAGCAGTATGTACTCATGTAAATATTCACGATATTCTGGCGGAATGAGATTTTATCCACTTCATGACATGAAACTTCCATAATATTAATCTTAATTAACAACATAAAAGTTATAAAAAAAACTTGAATCTAACGTACAAAAGCACTGTTGCAGTTTTTAGTTGAAGGTTAAAGTAACTCTTTGCAAAAATAACACTGAAAGAATTACCTGTGGCTTTCCAACTCTAGCGATGAAGCAAATCCCTTTCCACAGCATGTGAAAGGTAGCGTCCCAGAATGTCCACGTTCATGAGTTCTCAGATTTCTTTTATACTTGAAACCTTTCCCGCACTGAGAGCATACAGATGTGTTGTCAGCCATTCTGAAATAGGAGAAAACACGATATATTGCATAAGATAAGAATTTGATTTAAACAACTTCAAACTGTGCCTAAATATTTAAATTTATCACACACCCATGCATATTTTGCGACTCCGTAAAAATGTTATTGCACGGCCGTGCATATATTTTGACGTGACGTCATTAGCGTTTATACAAACATAGTGTAAAGACGCGCTAAATGTCAGCGTTATACTATATAGGCGCGCCAGTGAAAAATGACTCTATTTCACTTTAAACGGTCTTTATTTTGGGTGTGTCATAAATAGAATATTAAATTCAAGTTCATTACTGAATTTATTGAACTCGTTGAATAAAATGATATTATGCTCACCAAAGGCTCGCATAATATAATTTTATTCAACTGGTGCAATAAATTCAGTATTTAACTTACACTCATTCAATATCCTCTATATATGTATATGGGAGCCCTAAATTTGTTTGATTTGACTCCATTCATGAGTGCGAAACAAGTAACTGGTATAGCTTGCACAATCATGCCTGTGTAATTACGAATGAGCAAATAAATTTCATTGAACAGAGGCCAATTTAACGACCATCAAAGTTAGATAAAGCGCGGCAAGTAAAATTTTAAAAAGAGAAACACATACGCTTTTGAGAATAAACATCGTTTGGTTAATAAAAATTGGTTTCGGTGGTTAAAATTATAAAAGGAAGAGAAAGTATGCACGCTGCTTCGTATTTTCAGTCAATTCTGAAAACTGCTTTAAACTGTAGTCCGTTTATTTTGGCTTGGAACTGGTGCCAGAATTGAAAATTGAAGAAAATGTAAAATTTACGCAATAAATTGTAACAAAATAGAAATATTTAGGCAGGACTTTGCCTTCGATATTCCCGGTTGATGTTAATGTGGTCTTTAAATCATCGTATAGATCAGGTAATGCAAAAAAACAAAGTTGCTTGCAACTGCAGTCCGCTCGTATACAAACAACTTCTAAGGTTATGCAAAGTGTTTGATAAAATGGCTCATCTACTGATTGAGATCTAATATTCCGCGGAAAGCTAATATTTTTTCCCGTAGACTGGTGCATTTCCTATAGAAATTGGTGCAGAAATAAAATACTTACGGCTATTTTCTTGTTTGAAGCGAGCGGTTTTTCTCTTGGAAATGATGCCAAAAATGACGTCACGGTCACGTGGTATGGCCACACTGGTATATGTGAATTGTGTTGAAATTGTAAAAAAGAGGACACATGCATTTGGGGAAATTTTAACCTGGACGTTATGTTTGTGTAGCGCAAGAGATGACTCTGAAACAATTTGTTTAAGTTGATCCATCACTTTTCAGTGATGCAAACATGAGTGCCGCTCAAGCCGGTCCTGGGGCGTGAGGAATGCTGCGCTTATTCATTATCCCTCATGTACAGACTCGATCAAACCTAGTCTGCAATATTTATGTTGTTTTGTGGTAATGTATACTTTCGAGAGCTCACGTTTTTCCCAGATTTAAGAAATGTGCAGTGATAAAAGCGACGTCATGTGATACAATATTTGACATACAATTTTTTCTCGGCAGATATTATATCAATTACCGTTTTTAAAACAAAGCGCTTCGACAAGATAAAAAGATCTTAAACCGTTGTACCAATGTTCAAAAATATCTTTTTAAAAAAGAAAGAACTTAAGCCTAGGACGCGCACAATTGGACATGTTGGCTTTTAAAACTATTTTAACTGAGAGCAAGTTATTTTATAGTAATATTTCAACAATATATCCTGGTTTAATTACCTGATTTCAGTGTATATTAAATATTTTTCCACTTTAACTACATCATTCAGGGGAGGTAAAATGTGATATACTCTTTAACTACCTCGTTCAAGGGAGATAAAAGTGAAGAAACCAAAGTATTATAAATTTTTGCTGATTTTTTTATTTGACAGTCGTTAAGCATCTATCAGCTGCTGAATAAGTTCAATAAAAACAGTAATTGTGCAGTGATTGTATAGTATTTAAACTGTTATCAATACGTTTTACAAATTATAATATTAGTTATAAAGAATTGACAGATTATATAGGCCTATATAAACAGTTATATTGCAAAAAAAAAACATTTATATATGGTCATATAATCTATCTGAAATATTTATAACGAAATAATGATACAGCAAGTATTTTTTGGAGGAAAAAAAAGAGATTTCTTCACAATTGACAGCAGCCGTGTATATAAAACTACATAAACGTCACGATTATCCAATGCAAAGCGACGTTACAAACGTGCAGTATTATAATTTTATTATATACTTATAAATGAAATATTGAGAAATATTGATGAAATAAAATGCATATTTTCATTTTCCGTATTTTCACTGTAAAAATTTATTTTTCACTGCAGTGAAACATATTTTCCGTATTTTCACTGGTGTCTCGCCGGACTACTTTCTTTTAAATTCTGCCAGTACACAAAATTTGATGGAAAGTCTTTCAAATTTTATCGCAAAAAAAGAGAAAAATGTATATAATAAACAGAAAATTCAAGTTTTTTTCTATAAATACATGATTTTTTTTCATCTTGTGGCATGAAAATTATCATATTTCACTCGTGGCTACCGCCACTCATGAAATATTTATTTTCATACCACTCGATGAAAATAAATCATGTATTTATAGAAAAAACTTGAATATCCTCTATTTATTAGTTATAAAGATTTTGACAGGTTAAACAACCGTTTGTATACGGCCATATAACCTGTCAGAAATATTTAAAACTAATTTATAATGCATCTTTTAAAAAAAAAAAAAAATGAAATTTCTTCACAAATTGACAGCAGCCGTGTATATAAAAACGTCACGATTATCCAATGAAAAGCGACGTATCAAAGATGCAGGAGAATTTAAACGTTGATCTTAAATAAGAGGAATACACAAAGATGCGCGGAATTTGTACCGACGCGAAGTGATCCTTCAGAACGTGTTTGGATGTAGCATGTCTTTCAAAAATCATAAATATGCACCAAAAACTGAATAATTTTAAATGAATATTCTGGTAAATCATATCTGATTAATACTACACAATTATTGAAAACTCTTGCCTAGATATTAAGTCAATATGCTGGACTTTGTTCGAAAACGGATACAAATCCAGAGATTTGCTTCCCTATGAATAATTACTCAGTTATTCATGCATTTATTCACGATACCGACTCTTGAAAAATTGGATCTACGAATATGGGGCAAACAATGCAAAAGGAAATACAATAAATCTTTCCTTTTAAGTAACTCAAGAAATTCTTTAATACAGTAGATTGCGAGTCAATCGACGGCGATTCTTTACATGCTTTAAAGCTTTTATTATTATTAGCTTTACTAAAAACATCCCGCATATCTGTAATTTAAAGTATGTTGAAATCGAATTTTTATTCTGTACGTTTAATTTGTAACGTCAATTTCATCGTTCGCATCGTGACTGAAATACACTTATGCATAATTAAAGGGCTGCAAGCTCTGTGGTATTTTCTGATCTATGCAATCTAAATTGTACTGTATGTATTTTCCTGTATAAGTTTATTTTTATATACTATAATTCATCTTACAAGGCACCGAGATGCAGCGACTACGTTAAGATTTTTTACTATAACAGACATACGGAATTTTGCATGACTAGAGTTGCATCAAAAAAATCATTTATATTCATTTTTATGACAGCCACACTTTATCCTTGCATATCGTGGCTACTTCCTTAAAAAAGACACTTTAAAAAAAGAAAACAGTTGCCTCGACTAGGAACACCAGTCCTCTCACATCCTAAATGAGCGCGATACCCCTGCACCACGGGGAAGTTATACAAAGAAAGTCTGAATAAAATCAAACAATTCTAAATTGGAATTTCCATTTCGGGTTTGTAATCCTTATTAATTTCGAGGTTTTTGTTCACACTAAATAATTTAGCGAAAATCTTCTCGCCAAAACAGTCCGACATGTTCATATTCCACTACTCGACAGTCAGATTCATTTGTCTAATACGCTCTGAAGTATTCGGTAATCGACATCGCTAAGAATAGCATTTTCATTGATTAAAATGATATTCATCCGCGTAATTTGTGATATTGCATTTATTGACAATTCTATAAGCCAACGCTACTTTTAACTTTGAATGCGTTGTAATTTGTTGGATACTTGTAACAAAATAAAAATATTACTTTCTTTTACATCGCTAGGTTTAAGCTGTTTTGAGAACTACTTGTTGTTAGGTTTGTCGTGAAATTCTGTGCCAGAGATTGTATGTCAGCATTGTATTTCATGATCTGCGATCAGAAAATACAAAAAAGCATTTGTGAAGTTCGCTAAATACGTATGAATTCTTGATATCAAGATAATTGACTGGGGGTGGTATAACTAGAACTCGAGTCGGATGTGTCGCCTTGTGAACAGTATAGATGTTATTTAGGCGTTTTCTTCTTCAATATAGGTTATTTATTAACACCGCTCTTACAATGTACATGCACCTTGAATTTTAGTGGTATTTGAACTGTTTGTAACAATGTTACATCAGAATTAATAAATATATTATCAAAAATAAAAATATCATGGAAAAGGTTTACACTGACAAATCAACTGGAGGACTCTGTGGTGGATTCTTAAACACTGCATTTCAGGTCAATGAAAAAAGCTTACAATTTACCAAATTTAGAGTCAATAAAACTTATAGTGATGAAGTTATGCATTGGATAAGCCTATCAAGTGATAAGAAAATTAACAAAGGGCAATAACTAAAAAATCAAGAAGTGCAGAGTACAAGTACTTGTGCACTGCACTTCTTCTCATTGAGATCTACCATCCTCTGAAGTTTCATGTCAATAGCTTTTAAAGTGTAGGAGAATTGGCCCGGACAACAATAAAGTATTATAATTAACAAAGGGCAATATCTCTAAAATCATACAGTACAGACTACCGGTTTTTGTGCACTGCACTTCTTCTCAATGAGATCTATCATCCTATGAAGAATCGAACCCATAGCTTTTATA